AAACTTACCTGTTATACAGATACTCCCATACGGGTTGTGGCAATGATGTAAACTTACCTGTTATACAGATACTCCCATACGGGTTGTGGCAATGATGTAAACTTACCTGTTATACAGATACTCCCATACGGGTTGTGGCAATGATGTAAACTTACCTGTTATACAGATACTCCCATACGGGTTGTGGCAATGATGTAAACTTACCTGTTATACAGATACTCCCATACGGGTTGTGGCAATGATGTCACAATATCTTCAACATAATTAGCTTTACTTGGTGGCACACCTGAATAATATTAATAATAATTCCCATTTTTAATAATTGTAATCATGAAAATGGCTTAAGGTTTTAACTGACCTGTAGAATTTGTTAAAGAAAGGAAACAATAATTGGTTGGATCAATTCAGATGAATTTAATTAATAATCTAAGGTTATCCTTTTGAACAAGAAGCATGGTAACTAATACAGCTCTGCAAGGTGATCCACTATATTGAAGTTTATAACAATTTTAGAAAGAACACTTATAATATAGCAAAATGGATAATATTTAATGTATATCGGTGATTTTCAGTCTGTGATTTATTCAAGTACACCTAAGCACAAAATTTAACTTTAATCTGATAAGTAGTATTTGAGATATTAGAAAATTGACTAATTTAGAAAGCTGATCATAATCAAACCAAACCAAACCAGTTCTCTCCTCTGTTCTGCTAATTTGTCTCTGAGGGAGCTCCGCGCTAGATGCATATTTATGCAATAATATTTATGAGCTGAAAGTCCAGAAGTGTAAATTTATGCGACCTCTTGTTTTGCCAAACAGACTATGCTAATGAAAGATATCGCTATAAACGAAAATCTTCATAAATAGGGAGACTTAAACATAAATAAAAATTCCCAACTGCAGTCTGTATATTAAAAAAAAAATTACCCAAAAATTATGAATTATGTAACACACATATGCCATACTGAACTTCTCCTAATGAGCTCACATTAATTTTAAATTATATTTATGCAAATAAGCTCATTTATTAAGCATTGAGTATGCAATGAAACTACTTACCTCCATGTTTACACAAGAAATCGTAATTAGTGATTGGTCCAGGCTCTGAGAATGTGTTGAACTTATTTAACCATTGCTGAGACACGAAAAACTGCAACAAACTTGGCTGTCAAAATAAAAGGCAAACAGTTCAAACCCTTTGAGCATCAAAGGTAAAGTCCTTTTGCTCCAAAATATAGAAAATACATAAAAATATACACGTTTTACCAAAATTTTGGCAGAAAAATCGTTGGTGTGAAAAATTGGTACCTTGTGTGAGTTTTGAAACAGATGCATATCTGTAGATCGAAGATGACACAGATACAGAAACTAAAAGTTATATTTATCTTTTACCGACACTGTGTTTAGATTTTTGACAAAATTATCATTTGTGGCATAATTAGAATTGCTCAGATACAGTTTGTGAGAGTTATACCTCATGTGTGTTCGTCATCCCAACAACTTTCTGTCTTTCTTTCAAAGCTTCTGGTGAGTTTTTCCTGTAAGAATAAATAAGAACATTTATAAATAACAAAACAGGTACAGTGAAACAATGCGATTCAAACAGCACCGATCAGGTACTTTTCAATTTATTTTCTGAAAGCTTGTGTAACAACCAGTCATGTGTGAGTAGAACTCAGACAAATCATTTCCTGATACTCTAATATTACCAGTCTGGTTTCAATGATTTAATTTTGATTAAGCGTTTCCATAGTTACCTGTAGAAGAGTACATAGGCTTCTGAATTGGCTACTTGTACACCATGTACTTCAGTCACATACATATCATCAAATTCATACCACTGACCATTAATCCAATTCTGACAGTAAGCAGTATAATGACCACCTACAATTGGATACAAGTTTGATGACAATTGAGCAGGAATCATTATTTGGAAGTTGTTTTAAATTATTGGTTGTCATTTGACAGCTTTTTATTAATAGTCATTCGATAAACGAGTCATTTGTGAACACTTTGTAGATATTTGTCATTTAGTGTTTCATTAGTATTCATTTGGTAGATGTTTCATTATTTGTAATTTGGTAGACGTTTCATTATTTGTCATTTGGTAGGTGTTTCATTAAGTCATTTATTTGGTAGATGTTTCTTTAAGTCATTTGGTAGATGTTTCATTATTTGTCATTTGGTAGATGTTTCATTATTTGTCATTTGGTAGATGTTTCATTAGTATTTATTTGGTTGATGTTCCAATAGTATTTATTTGGTAGACATTTCATCAGTAGTCATTTCATAGATGTTTTGTTAGTCATTTGGTAGATGTTTCATTATTTGTCATTTGGTAGATGTTTCATTATTTGTCATTTGGTAGATGTTTTATTATTTGTCATTTGGTAGATGTTTCATTAGTATTTATTTGGTTGATGTTCCAATAGTATTTATTTGGTAGACATTTCATCAGTAGTCATTTCATAGATGTTTTGTTAGTCATTATATATTTTGTAGATGTTTCATTAGTGTTTATTTGGTTGATGTTTCATTAGTATTTATTTGGTAGATGTTTCATTAGTATTTATTTGGTAGATTTTTATTAGTATTTATTCCATAGATGTTTCGTTATCTGTCATTTGGTAGATGTTTCATTAGTATTTATTTGGTAGATTTTTATTAGTATTTATTTGATAGATGTTTCATTATTGTCATTTGGTAGATATTTCATTATTGTCATTTGGTAAATGTTTCATTAGTAAATATTTTGTAGATGTTTCATTATTTGTCATTTGGTAGATGTTTCATTAGTATTTATTTGGTAGATGTTTCATTAAGTCATTTGGTAGATGTTTCATTATTTGTCATTTGGGGAGACGTTTCATTATTTGTCATTTGGTAGACGTTTCATTAGTATTTATTTGGTTGATGTTCCAATAGTATTTATTTTGCAGACATTTCATCAGTAGTCATTTCATAGATGTTTTGTTAGTCATTATATATTTTGTAGATGTTTCATTATTTGTCATTTGGTAGATGTTTCATTATTTGTCATTTGGTAGATGTTTCATTATTTGTCATTTGGTAGATGTTTCATTATTTGTCATTTGGTAGATGTTTCATTAGTATTTATTTGGTTGATGTTCCAATAGTATTTATTTGGTAGACATTTCATCAGTAGTCATTTCATAGATGTTTTGTTAGTCATTTGGTAGATGTTTCATTATTTGTCATTTGGTAGATGTTTCATTATTTGTCATTTGGTAGATGTTTTATTATTTGTCATTTGGTAGATGTTTCATTAGTATTTATTTGGTTGATGTTCCAATAGTATTTATTTGGTAGACATTTCATCAGTAGTCA